CCCAGTGCTAGGTAGGGGGTCTTTGGCCCAGCCCCTGGGGGGGGTTGGGGGGGGGGCAATAATTCAGCAATGCTCCATTCACAATGAACTGACCCAAATATCTACACCTGGATCAGAGGGACAAAATTGGACTAAATTGAATTGTCTTTTAGACTGGTGATAGCTGTCCTTTTTTGAAGCTTTTTCAGAGTATGAGACGCTGAAATACAGTATGTCCTTGGTATAGTCCTGGGACAGACACTAGAAACACCAGCAGTGTAGTTACAAAGCTGACCTCTTGCAGCAGACACTGGCATACATAAGAGCACATGATGGTGACAAGACAGCAACATTACCCATCAGAAGACGATTATGATCTTTTACTCAGTTTCTCTCTCCTCATCTGATTTTGTGGGTGGCACTCAGGCAACTTGTAAGTACCACAGCAACCAACATTCACTAACTCAATGTCTGGGGGCAGTAGATACACTGCACTGCTTAGAGCTGACTATTATACACCGCATTATTTGAGTCTTTTACATGATAGTAAACCATCCCTAGAATTACTCTGCTACAGTTTTGGTAATATTATCCTGTGATGGTTGAACTGCTGTCCAGTGTATGTTCACATGGTGACAATAAGACATCACCACTGACACAGCCTAATTGGTTGCTGTGTGGGTAATGCCTCCCCTAGCACCCTCTATGGTGAACATAGGCTCCAGGGTGCACACAGAGCAACGCAGCTCTGCACCAGATTTCATATTTGGACACAAACTCCACCAAAATACATTTACCTATGTGTGCTACAGCCTTAAGTGTGTTTTACAGCCTACTCTGCAGTCATGTGCAGTAACTCCTGAGGATCAAACTGCATCTGTGAAGATGTGCTGTGTACATGAGGGTTAACAGTCCCTACGGTTGAGTTAGCCATACTTAAAAAAAAAAAGCATGAAAACTGTCCAGCAAAATGTATAAGACAAACCAATATAGACAAACTGCAAGCAAAAATCATCTCACGACTTGCTTATAAAACACAACCCGCAGTGCTAATTCCCAGGGCCAAAAGTGTGCAGTTCAAATTCTGCATCATGAAGAGTTCCCATCTAGGCCAATGCTTGGATGATTTTATGTGCAATTATCATTCTGATTCTCATTCAGAAGGCTACAGAGAGGGAGAGAAGAAACATTTGTGTGGAAGGAAGACTGAATGCCATTTCCAAAGCACATTCTAGAACACTCAGCATTCCACAACTCCTGTCTGGACTGTCGCAAGGACTTTCTAACCCTCAGACGGTAATGATTTGGTATTTCTGCATTCACAGTATTACATAGTGCAGGGACGATATTCTAAGAGGAAAGTGGAAGTCTGAACAGACCTGATGAGAGAAATCATTTGTTTCCACCTGGGAGGAAGGAATTGGAGAGGTGATCAGTTTAATGAAGAGACCATAGACAATAATTTTTCATATTCACGTATTAGTAAGCTGAAGGTGGACAGATGACCTGGAAGGTGACTACAAACGTCTAGAGGTGTTGAGGCTCCAGCAATTAAACAAGGAATTCATTATCTCAAGTGTCACCGAATGCAAATAACAAGCATAAGTGGAATAATAAACTGCAGTGTCAATTAGATGTGCCAGAATCCTAATATTCTAGTAAATATGGATGAGCACGAATGAGGCCACAGAAAAGCAGACCTCTTTCCGTGCTGTACAAGGAGGTGAAGGGATTTTTTTTTTAGGGCATTTTCCAGAAAGTGGTGCATGAGCGTTGGTGTTGTACATAACATTTATTTATTGTAAATGTAATACCTAAACAATTTAGAAACCGAAACACATTGCATTACAGAAACTTCTAAGCGGTGTGTCAACTTCCTCTTCTGTGAACATAAGGGAACAGGCTAGACCCGAATTTGGGCTTCATGCCTATATCGAACAGACTGCACTTGATGGTTTAGAAAGTGTCCTTGGGTAAAACTTGTATAGGTCTGTACACAAGGACAGCAGCAAACATATCACCCACATGTGCATGGTGCTGTACTTATCACTATGCAGATGCAACCCAAAACATCGCTGACATCTACCTTGCTCTTATCCTTATTGGGTAAAGTGCCTCCAACACACTGTTGCAGTCCTTTTAGTGCATGAAGTGTCTGCATGTGTTCTGCAAATTCAATAGCTCTAATGCATACTTCAACCTGCGTCACCTTAATTAAATCCAGCCCATGCTGGACAAATGGTGATTGTAGCCCTAACCGAGCAGACCTAATTCCTGCAGACAAAACTTAGTTCAATAGGTGTGAGCAGAAAGCAGTGTGCACAGTGCAGCAATTAATCAAAAATCAACTTTAAACTGATATGCCATTAGTAAGCTGATCCTGTAATCAGTTAATGATTCAGGGCAACACATCCCTACCCTGTACTCACTCTCAATAGTATCACAATCTGCTTGGAAATGGTAATATCAATGGATATGCTACTGACACAAAAAATGTGTACAGCATTTCCTCATAAGCATTTCACTGTGATGTCCTCCAAAAACTGTTATTGTGAAGCAGATTATACACAGAAGATTTGGAGTGTCATTTGGTAGACTTGTATTTTGAGCTGAAATAAATAAAACGGGCAGAATGAATAAGGAATGCTCTGTGTGTGTCTCCTGAATCCGCAGCGTGAATTCTGAGCATGTCTGCACAGAGAAGGAGGAAGAATTGATTTTTATATCAATATTTGCAGAATTATTAATGCAGCTACAAATTCATTACATATACAAGAAGGTTTTTCATACATAGTGAGAAGGCATAGCTGACATTGAATGACCCTCACAGGCCGGACTGAAGCCAAACTCCACAATTATTCTTCCCTGCGCAGCTGAGCCACTGCCAGGAGATGTGCACACATTTCACAAGTCACTTCTGCGTTAAACTTCATTTTGGACTTTTGCTACCTATTGTTTTGCAGAAAAACCTCTTTCACCGCATTAAAGGGGCAAGTTGGGCGAAGTCAGGGTTTTGAATAGTCACAATACATTGTCCCCATCCACCAATGGCAGTGGAAACAAAAGCTAGGGGGCTTAATTAGGTAAAGTGATAACACGAATACGTTTCCCCTTTTTACCAGGAAGAAGACTACATCTATCGTAATGTGTGAAGAGGCTGAAGGCTTTAGATTAGAGCCAAGAACTGAGCGTATGTCCAGCTTTAGGATGGACTTAATAAAAAAACAGTAATTCATTAAGAGCAGTATCTGATTTGACCAGTTGCAAGTTTATCTCTCACCACTTGTCATGCTTGGGAGTTATACAGCTGATAGTGTCTGTTGGGGTATTCTCTAGACTGCAAGAGGAAAAGAAGCTGTGCACCCCAGCAGGACACAAGGAGACTCCCTGGACATTAGACAATTCTGACACCATCATGTGGGTTACATTTAGAGTCCAGATTTTAATATGATGTTTCCAGTCTGTTTCCTTGTAAGAAAAA